ATTAGATTAAGATATAATCCATCTTATTTCTGAGTGTTATACTCATCTTGTAAATGGGTTATTTGCCTATAAATAGGCCCTCCTTAGTTTATTTGTATACACACTTCAATAAGATTTCTTCTCCCCCCCTAAATACTTTCTTTCTTCTTTTTAAGTATTCTTTCAAGTTATTTTTATTTGTTCTTATAAAGTTATTTTTTCATAACAATTATTATTATTATTATTATTATTATTATTATTATTATTATTATTATTATTATTATTAATGTAAATGCTCCATATCTTTTATTATGAGAATCATCCTTATAATTTTCCTTTTCATAGCATCAATTAATTCAAAATATTGCTTAGAATTGAAATTACAAATTTATTTATTATTTTTTATATACCTATATATATTTTACCATTTAACATTTTATATAAGTAAGTATTTCAAAAAAATTGCATCATATATTAATGGAAAAAGATCTAAAGAAACTAAATAAATAAACACAAAACAAGTATAAAATAAATGAAACTAAGCAAGCGAAGCCCAACAAATAGACGCTCCAAAACCATACCAAAGGACTGGGGTTCCACCAACTACAAGCCCGCTCAATAGCAACCCAAAATGGCTGCTCAGGTGGCCTCATGCTCGTCAGCAATGGAACACACCGTTTTGGTGCTTGAGGTGCTCCTCCTCAAGGCGGAAACGACGCCGTTTAACTCTTTTTTGCCCCAACCATATCGCCAACGATAAAAGCCCTTGTTCTCCTTCTCCTATCGGTTTCCCCTCCCACTTTCTCTCTCTACCCACGGCTGTTCTACGTTCTCTCTACTGAAACCAAACGAAACCCTAGTCTTGTTCTGTTTGGTGCGCTTTTTATGCTTTTTTATTTTTTTTTTGTTGATTGTGGTATCCTACCGATTGTTAGAGAGAAATCTTGGGGTTTCTTTTCTTTTTTTTTTTATTCTAAAACAGCTCGAGTTTTCTAATAAAAAAAAATTATTTTGAGAGTTCTTCAAAAGGTTTCTAGGGTTCTTCCTCTTTAGAAAATGGTTTCTAGGGTTCTTCTAAAATGTATTTTTGAAAGCCGGAAGAAAAAGAAAAGGTTGCTAAGGCTGCCCAAGACCTAGAGTCTCTCCCTCTTTTCCAATCCTTTTTTAGCATTTTATACTCGTAAAGGATGCCCTTCTTGGCTCCCTGCAGCTGTTGGATCTTTACCCTAGCTAGCAATTTTTAGCCGGATGGCGTTTGCCAGGACATGAAAACCACTCCTAGCAGAAGGCACATCTTGGCTTGTATGCTTTTGTTTTTGTTTTGGTCCTTCTGGACCTTGTTCTCAGAAAGTTTTAGGGAACCTTTAAAAACCCAATAAGCACTTAAACATTTGATTAAATTTGGACAAATAATAAATAAAATGATAAAAATAAAGTAAATAATTATGGTAAAAAAAAAAACAATGGTGTCTACAAGTGGCAAGGCATCCCAAATAAAGAAGTCATGCTGCTGTTCAAAGCTAAAACAAATGGCACCAAGGCGTCTGTTTCTTCTGTAACGAAGAAAACAAGGCTACAACAATGATGTGAAAGGCTGATACCTACACGTGTGAAAAAATCCTTCAAAGCAGTTAGATGATTTTTCTTCTCAATTTCTGGATGATTTTTAAGAAATCTTTGTTTCTGTTCTGCTTTCTGGCCCACTTGAATTATCTATACTTAATTAATACCAAACGAGTGGATTTTTTTTAACGTACCAAATCTTGTCATCAAATCTATCAACTCTTGATATGTTGCCTAATTTTTTTTAATGTAACCTCATGTTATGCTTATAAACTCCATGACACGGACATGATTTTCATATATTAACTTCTCATAAATAATAAAAAATTTAAATATATAGTGATTCGAGTGAGACATAAAATTATTATCTATAAAATTTTCATTCTTTTCATTTATTGTCACTATTTTTCTCACTACTAATACATTAAGATTTTGCAATCTTTTTTTTTTCTTGTAAACTATAATCATAAAAAAAATCAAGTTTCTTGTAGTTTTCTATCTCTTTTATTCAAACTTTGAATCATTGAACATATTTTTTTACTTATTTGTTCAAGTTTGTCATGTCCTTTTAGTAGTACATGAAAAATGGAATGAAGACTATATATAAGAAACAGTTGAAGAGTTTGAATTTAATGGGTGCCTAAAAGTACCAGTTAATGTTGCTTTTTATATCATCGTAGTAAATCGTTTTTTAATTTAATGCACTAATTTTATTAAATTCAAAAACATTAATTACAATTATGGTGTGGCTGCTTAAGTGGATGATTTTGTTTTAAATACATGTTTAGATGTTTGTCCGATGTATTATGATCAATTATTTTCAATGATGTTTTACTTTGTTTGAAAGTCTTGTTATTGTAATCTTTATAACATGACCGGTATTTATTGATCTATTAATATATTTTATAATTGGCGTTATCTTTTATGCAATGTTATATATGAATTCTATATATTATCAGTTAATTAAATTATATCACTTCATTAATAAATAAATTGAAAAGTTGAGAACTCTAAAAATAAAATATTTATAAATTTAAAAATTTTTATTTTAAAAATTTTTCAAAAATTCTTATCTTTTGCCATTTATAAAATAAAATTTTATGACAATATATTATATATTATATAATAAAAAGATAAATATAAACCCTTCATAAATATAATAATCACGATATTCTATAAACCGACAGTGCATCGAACCAGGATGAGGAAGAAGTACAAAGAAAATTTGTTTCAAACATTGTTGATGTGATAGGTTGGTAGATATGAAGCGTCGATTATATCGTGAACATCTGTATCATGAGTCTGACGACTTGAGTAACCAGACAAATATTTCAGTGATACACGTGTTGCCGCGTCGATATGGATAAAAGATTTAAGTTATCCACATCTTTATTATTTATTTATTTATGTTTTAAAGTAAAAAGATAAAAATGGATTTATCTTTGGATGATTAAAAATATATATATAATTCCTTTAGATGATAAATACATTATTTTAATTTTATATAGACTAATTAATTAAGTTATAATTTTTGTTCAATTTTAAGTATTCATATATTTTAATTTAATTATTATATAGTTGTTGACCTTTTTGTTTTTATTTTGTAAAATTTTTTCAAAACTAAAAAATAAATAACAAGTAATAAAAATAATTAATCAAACAAAATCTTTTTAGAGCATTTAATGAAAACTATTTTTTTCTTTTTCTTACATCTTTAAAATTTATACTAAATTAGAACAAAAAATTAATAAATAAATAATAATTTCTCGTAAATTTAACTTTTTAATTATATATTGTATAAATCGATTACAATAATAAATCATTTTACTTTGTTGATCAATTATGTCTGTTGTGCATTCTCACATAATTAATAAATTAGAACAAAATTAATACCGACATTGATATTTGTCCATACATTTTTTGTTTTTTATCCATATGTTTGATTCTCATCTTGCATTTTAATTGTTGTGCATTTATTGAGGAAGTTGACAAGACCTTGTATTACCTGCCAGAAAATAATTCTTCTCGTGAAGACAAAAAATTAAATAATATCACACATGGAGAATAGCTAGCAACGCTAGGTGTGATGAGTCAACTTTATATCATATCATGATAGAATAAAGTATTTATGAGATTGAGTATTTTATATTTATAAGAGAAATATTTCTTTTTTAAATAATGTAATAATTATTGATGGTATTTTTAAAAATATTTGTTAAATTTTTAAAAGAAAGATTTTTTAAGAAAAGAATGTTTTTATTTTAAACGTTATAGTGATTATTAGTAAAATACTTATAAAATCTCATAAACTTTTTATAAGAGGTGAGTAATTGGTGGATTGTTTGATTGCTTTATTGATAAAAAAATTATTTGTAACGAATTATCTAAAGTTACTCATATGGCCCGACAATGGAGTTTGACTAAGTGGTTACATATATGATGTTCGGTATACTTTTTAATTTTGAGACTGATTTTCTTAATTTGATTTATTGTTATTTTTTATGTTAGATCAAATATAACCGAATATTAATTGACTTGCGTGAAAATGTCCATTAAGTGTTGCACGGACTATCACATACTCATACAAAAAGACGTAATTCATGACACTAAAGGTAAAAGTACGGAGGCTCGACATGGGTCGTTCGCCCCACTTTGATTCTATCACATTGTTTTTGTCGTAAAAATAAATTTTAATTAAAAATATCTACAACATTTTAACTTAGATGTAAATTAAAAGGAATTTATGTGTGAAAATTATATGAAGTAAATAAAACATGTACTAATCAGTTAAAATTAAGATATCTTTTAAAATGAAAATGCAAGTGATAAAATCTACTTTTATCATTGTACCTTAAATTAATATGTTCATATTTATCTTAGTTCTCCCAGCTTAAAAAACTGTGAGTATGCTGTCCCATTATCACAAATTCAAGTTTCAACAACCACAAGCTCACTTAATAAATTTTATTTTAACATTTGCACGAATTTGGTCTTGGTTTATTACTTATTCATAGAATTAAATGCAGTATAGGGTAATTTTGTTTGTATTGAGAATAAAAGTGATTTTATACTAAGATGGGCTTAAATTGGAAAATAAGATATTGAAATAACTCTATTTTGGTCCTAACTTTAGAAAAAAGAAAAAAAGGTGGCCCAACCTTGGGATGAGTTATGAATATTAAACGATGATGCATGGCTTCCAACCTCTATAAATTGAAGTATCAAAGCAAGCAACCGGCATCCAAATCAACACATATCCAGCAACATATCACTTTACCATGAAGACAGCAACAGCCGTAGTTTTACTCCTCTTCGCCTTCACATCAAAATCATATTTCTTTGGGGTAGCCAACGCTGCAAACTCTGCTGTGCTTGACCTTGATGGTGATGAGCTCCAAACTGGGGTTGAATATTACGTCGTGTCAGCAATATGGGGTGCTGGGGGTGGCGGGCTAGCGCTAGGAAGGGCTTCAGACCAAAGCTGCCCAGAAATTGTTGTTCAAAGACGATCCGACCTTGACGATGGTACTCCTGTGATCTTTTCAAATGCGGATAGCGAAGATGATGTTGTCCGTGTATCTACTGATCTAAACATAGAGTTCGTTCCCATCAGAGACAGACTCTGCTCGACGTCAACTGTATGGAAGCTTGACGATTATGACAACTCGGCAGGCAAATGGTGGGTGACAACTGATGGGGTTAAAGGTGAACCTGGTGCTAGAACTTTGACCAGTTGGTTTAAGATTGAGTCGGCCGGAGCACTAGGTTACAAATTTAGGTTCTGTCCTTCTGTCTGTGATTCATGCGCACCTTTATGCAGCGATATTGGAAAACATTCAGATGATGATGGACAAATACGTTTGGCTCTCAGTGACAATGGATGGCCATGGGTATTTAAGAAAGCAAGCAACACAATAAAACAAGTTGTTAAGGCGAAGCATTAATTTTAAGTTTCATGTACGATCGTGGACGTCCAAAGTAGCACTACTAGCCGGTCGTTACTTTCCACTAAATAAAAGGTAAGTATGTGGTTCCCCAGAAGCCGGTAATGTAATGCTATGCCTATGTAATCAGTGTCTTGTGTGAGGTGGAGGTGCTCAAAGGGTGTGTCTTCACAGCCCAGCTGTGTAGTCTTCCGGCTTTATGAATAAATAATTTGCCTCTTGCCTCTTTTATTACCATTATTTTAATATTGCTCTGACGTCTTCCATACGATGCAACCAACAAGAGAAAATTGCTCACAATGAACTTTTTTTCATGTTTTTTTGTACAAATGTTTTTCTCAGGGGTCTTCATTAAAAAAAATTAAATTCAACTTTACATGTAAATTTAAGCGAATATAAACAGTACTTCTCATCATAATTATGAACTAATATAATATATATTTGCTCGATAAAGATAAATTCATTCCATTAATCATCAAAAAATCAGTACATAAACTGGCAAGGCCAGACATGATCAAGCATAATGATCATAAGCTCGGCCGTCCAAGAAGGACCCCCGCTGAAGAACGAAAAACACTCCTGAAGCAGCACAATAAAAGGGAACCTTTAACAGAACCTTCAACTTCATCGCCCTTTGTGGGCAACCACAACAAAATAGAGCAGATAGACGTAGCAGGCATAAACGTTAAATTTATGTTCTCCTTTAAGGGAAGGGAGGTGCCATGAGACATTAAGCCTTGTATGAAGAGGGGAACGTCTGAAGCTCATGTTGCATGGCTCCATCCACCATCCAACTTCATCGATATATAGATCCAATTCCCTCGCAAGCATGTATCCAAAAGACCAATCTCATTCTGATGTGAGCGAATATCTCCATACCATCTCAGGTTTTCCCGTTAACATTGATAATTCAAAAAAAAAAATCAATTATATTGCAACTTATCTAAAAACTAATTTAATTAAATATCAACTTTATGATAATATTTTATTAAGTAAACTCCACAAACATCTTTTGTGATGATCTTTTTGATAGAAACAAGCGCGAAGGACTCGCTTAGAAACTCATGAATGTTTCTGTTTTAAAATGTTAAGAACAGAGATGAAAGAGAAATGAAGAAAACAGTGATACCAAAGGCTATCTATATTCATATGCTTGATTACAAGATTATATACTGCTGTCACATTCATTACACTTGTTCATAATATTAAAAAGTGTCGAGCATATGGTTACCACAATGCATGCAAGGTAACACGTATGTGACACCAAGACAGCACAATGAGCTTACATTAATACCAGTACAAGAAGCAACATATAATAGTACAAAAGACATTTGTATTGAGGATGCATGCAATAATATCCACGTAGCATCTTGAGGTTAGTTTTTTTTTTTTAATATAAAACTTTGTGTTTTAGTTGTATTTCCAAAAAGGGTAGTAGGAAAGAAAGTGTTTTCATCTTTAAATTCGAAGCAGGTTCAAAAGATTTAATCTTTATTTTTGTTTTCAAATTTCCCTCTTTCATTTTTTCTGTTCATTTAATTCATTTTTATAATAAAATATAAAGGGCCGGCATTGGTAACAGTAACTGGAGCAGGTCATGAGGTTTCACACCATTGGCCCTGTCAAGGCTTTATCCTTTTCAGATCATTTTTCGAGAACAAGCCAATGCCAAGTTAAAATTCCTCTTAGTACTACTATTCAGTTCCTTGATGAATAAGCCGAAAAAGAAAAAAAAAACTACAGAATTATTTATATAGGGACGCATTCTTCTCGTGTGCCCCTCCATTCTTGCCTACTCTGTTCTATTTCCTGTGTATGTTGAAGGAGAAGGAAAATGCAGAGAGATTTGGAGTTAGAAGTAGAATACAAACTTTGTCAAAATTGTGGAATATTTGCATGAATTGTATTCTTTATGGGACTTAAAATAATGAAACTGAAAATATTGATAAGAACAAAAGGAAACCATTTCTTCTCTTTATATGATGTCATTCTTAGACCAACTATGATGCAAATGAATAATTTTTTGTTGAAAATTGTTTTAATTAAATAAATAAAATAAAAAAATTAAAACAAAAATTATTATTGTCTGGTTATAAAAAATTAATTGAAATTTTAACATTGTTATCCCTTTGGGAATAGAACTAAAACATAAAATTTTATATGGAAAAATAGTAATCTCAAGGTGTTATGTACGAAAAAGCTATATCACAAGTAGTGAATGAGAAGTTTACCCTATTTTATTATTAGAAAGTATATAAAAGTGATAAATTACATTTGTATAAAGTTAGATTATAATTATAAGTATCATTAAATTTAAATTTTAAATGACAAGGTTGTTCGATTTAAATTCAAGAACTAATGCCTAAACTTTTCAATCGCTAAAATATGAAACCTAAACTGCCCATTTTTAATGGGATCTTCAGGAAATTTTGGCTCAATTTCTGGACTGTTTTTTCAACCTAGAAGCATCATTTTGTTATATTCCTAAGCCTATTGAATCTTATTGTTATGAGGCTAAGTGTAAATTATATAAATTATAGATTACAGATATAACTAAATTGAAATTTTTTAAATATAAATTGTGGAACCGATTAATTGTTTCAAAGATAAGTTTAGAATTTTTCGCATTATTGGAAAAGAAAAACTCTATGTCGTATTTGTTGATTCATGATGTACCTATGGAAACCAACGAGTGAGACACAGTATTTTCATTTCATTTAAATGTTTCCACGTGATAATATGCAGCCTTTGATTTATCTACCAAACTTTGTTTTGTCTTCTTAATTATTTTATATTCAAAAATAAAGTATTGATAGTAACAAGGCATCTCAAATAAAGAAGTCGCACTATTGTTGAGAAATAAAACCAATAGTGCTAAGGCATCTGTTTCTCCTTTATCGATAAGAAAAAACGAATCAACAAAGAAGACAATAATCTTTATAACATGACTGTTTCTTAATTATGATCAACTATTTTAAATGATGTTTTAATTTGTTTGAAAGTCTTGTTATTGTAATCTTTATAACATGACTGGTATTTATTGATCTATTAACAAGTTTAATAATTGGGTTTATCTTTTCTGTATTGGCATATATAAATTCTATATAATATTAGTGAATTAAATCATATAAATTCATTAAATAAGAAATTTAAAAATTAAAAACTCTAAAAATAAAATATTTTTAATTTTTAAAAAATTTAGAATTTTTATCATTTTATATTTAAAAAATAATATTTATGATTAAATAATAATATATTAAACATTGTATAATAAAAAATAATTTAAATATTTATTGAGGATAGGGAAAAAAGACAAAGAAAATTTAGTCGAACATTATTGATGTGATAGGTTGATAGATACAAAGGTGAAAAGAAATTATTCCAATTATATGCACACAAATGACTTTAGTAACAAAGCAAGAAAACATTTTAGTGATATGTGCGTTGCCGCATCGTTAAGGATTTATTTATTTATTTATTAAAATAAAAAATAAATAAATTTATCTTTAGATAATAAAAAATATATATACATTTTTTTAAAAAAAGTGTAATATATATTTTTCATTTTTTAAAAAATTGTTACATACCCACAAGGGATAGGATAGACTCATCCCAACTTATAGAGAAACCAATGAAATGATCTTGAATATATATATATATATATATATATATATATATAATTCCTTTAGGTGATAAAACACATGATTTTAATTTTAATAGACTAGTTAATTAAGTTATAATTTGTGTTACATTTTAAGTATTCATACATTTTAATTTAATTATTGTATAGTTGTTGACCTTTTGTTTTTATTTTATAAATTTTTTTCAAAACTAAAAAGTAAATAGCAAGTAATAAAAATATTAATCAAAGAAAATCTTTTTATAGCATTTAATAAAAAATATTTTTCCTTTTTTTTAAGTTCTAAAAATTTATACCAAATTAGAACAAAAACATTGATAAAATGAATTATAATTCCTCATAAATTTTCCTTTTTGATTATATATGTATAAACCAATTACAAGAATAAATCATTTTACTTTGTTGATCATTTATGTCTGCTGTCCATTCTCACAAAATTAATAAATTATAAACAATACCGACATTGTTTTTTGTCCATACGCTTTATCTTAATCGTTGTGCATTTATTGAGGAACTTTACAAGACCCATGATGACAAGATCTTATATCACCTGGCACGTATGTTATGTTACAGATAAGAGGACAAAAAAAAAAAAAACCAAATAATATATTACAAATGGATCATAGCTAGCAGTGCTATGGTTAATAATAGACCTGTCAGAATGGGTCTAACCCATAAAGTCGATTTATTTTTTATTAAATATGAAATGAGTTGAGTTGAAATATTTTGGTCTATATTAAAATTAAGCCTAAATGGGTCAGCCCACCAAATCAGTGGGCTGATGTAGGCTAGGGTAGGGCTAATTCAATAGGTCAGAAAAAAATAATTTTAATTAATTTAATAATTTTATATATTTAATTATATAAAATTAATAATTTAGTTATCAATAATATTATTTATTTTATATATTTCAATGTCTTTAATTTTCACTTGTTAAATTAAAATTTTTAATTTAGATTAAAATTTATTATCTCTTTTTCTTTTATGGTAATGAATATTAGATGATAAATTAATAATAATTCAGACATTGAGACATCATTACTGTCTAAACAAGATTTAAATGTTTTACTTGAGAATGAAGATTGAGAAGGATATAAATAAGTCTTGAAATTTTTATTATTTGGTTATATACTTATGTTAATGAGATAGTAGTTTGTATTAAAGATTTAAACTTTATTATGTAATTTATTTATGTTTTTATATTTGGTGTAATTTGTTTATTTGTAATATGTTTTTATTATTCAATTTATGAATTAAATCATAAAACAAATTTATTAATAAAAAATTTGTTAGGTAGAATTATAAAAACTAATTTTTTTTTTGAAAAAACTAAAAATAGGCTGGTCCAACCTAACCCATGGACTAACAAGGGGTG